AGGGCCAACGGAGTCAGGGGAGGCCCCCCCCGAAGGACCTCGGGGAACTCTGTGAGGGAGGGTCCCGCACGTGGTGCCCACGGACCTATCAGACAGAGGCCGCCCCCCGGGGTCCCCCGGGGACGGACTCCTTGAGAACAGGAGGCTCCAGCCTAGCCTCTCGGGGCCCCGCGCTCACTTCACGGGCCTCTCGCCCAGCGGACGGGATGGAGGAAGCTGGTGGCAAGGGGTGGCCTCTGGAGGGTGCGCCGGGCACCGCGGAGGACAGGGCGGCAGCCCCACACACGCTCCCCTGGCCTCCGACTCCTGGCTGGTTCAGGAACCCCGCGGCGGATGCAGGAGCTGAGACCAGCCCAGGGCCACAGAACAGAAGCGCCTCAGGAACTCCAGGCTCCCCCAACCCGCAGCCGAGAGAGGTCTGCTGACCGCTGCCCGACCCTCACACAAGGAACCCCCAAAGGTGCCCGGGGCAACTCCAGAACCAGCCCCAGCCCCAGAGGATAGCTGACAGAGGGTCTCCCCTCAACATCAAAACAGAAAATACAGAGTTTGAAGTGTTTAAAGGAAGGTCAAAAAAGGTTACTGTAAAAGAAAAGCTTGAGGAGCACTGTGCCCCCTCCCTGGGGGCTGGGGGACCCCCGCACTCCACGCCCCATGTCACCCCCCCCCGCAGCGCCGCCGGCGGTGCTCCCTGGCTGGCTGGCACCAGACCCCTCAGATCCTCACATGCCACCGTGTCTTAAGTTCCTCAGATGCAAACATCCTGAAAATAAAATTTAAAAGTATTTGTATTAATGTATCTTTATCGAAAGATAATCCTTTCTAGGGGCGCCTGGCTGGCTCAGCGGGAAGAACGTGCAATCTTGATCTTGGGGTCATGGGTTCGAGCCCCATGCTGGGTGTAGACATTGCTTAAAAAATAAAGTCTTTAATTAAAAAAAATAATAATCCCTTTTAAAAAGTAAAAGCTTAATTCCTAAAACAAACTGACCTGTTCAAAGATTTAACTGCTTAATTAACGAAGGAACCAGTAAACTGTTAAAAACCCTGCTCAAGGGAGTGGGGGGGAGACCCTGTGATGGCACAAGGAACAAGATGATGTGGCTGAAGAGGCGAAACGGCGGGCGTCACAGGAGACGGGCACGCCCCCGCGGGACAGCGCCCGTCTGTGTCCCCTACCCAGACCCCCGTGCCACTGGTTCCTGAAAAAGACACAGAGCCTAGGGATAGAAGTGCGCCCCGGGAAGAGGCGCTGCCATGGCCCACGTTCAGGGGCCCTCCACTGTGGCATTTCCGTGAGCCAACAGCAGAGGGGTCCTGGGGGGTGGGAGGCAGGGTACCCCCTGGGGTCCCGCAGAGCAAGTGTGGATCCCCACCACCACCTTGACTGTGCTGGGAAAGTTCCTGCTGAGAACCCCTTGCCATGGGACTTAGATGACTCAGTTGCGCCCAATCACCCGTGACAAGGCTGGACACGGACCCCAAATTCATTCCATTCTTCACCCTGTTCTTGACTGGCTGACCTGTCTGGGCTCGTGGATGGGAACAGAATGCCCATTAACCTCACTTGGTCCGTCCTTCAGGCCCGTAGATGACGACCCACCCTCAGCCTGAGACAGGCAGACCCAGGGTCGTGCGGCCCCTGACGTCAGGTCACAGGACCCACGCCTCCAAGCAGGCCGCTGCCTGCACCAGCGCCTTCCCCCTCCCACCCGACCCTCGTCCAGCCGGGGTCCCTCCCCCCATAAAGCAAGCCTGTCCCCGCCTGGCCTCAGAGACCCTGGCGGACCCCACGGTCTCCCTCCTGCAGCCACGGCTCCTTCCCGGGCTGGCAGTGACCCCATCCAATATGATCTCTCCTGACTCAGGGTTTGTTTGACACACTTGTGCTCTCCTCCCCAATTCTGTGGCTAGAGTACCCAAGTGTCAAAGTGCCAAGCGCCATCATCATTGGTTACGCCCCGTGAAGATGGGAAGGGGGAGTGCACGATGCAGAGTTTTTAAGGGTAAAACTCGGTATCTCCATCTACTTGTGCCAAGTCCCTCTAGCCCCATGCCCAGTGAGCCCACCGCAAGCCCACTCTCCACCATCATTCACACAACCCGGACACAACGGCCAGGCTTCCCGCCGACTTGCCCCACGTCCCACAAGCCCCTAGGGAGCAGACTGCTACTCCTCAGTGCTTAGCGATTGTTATTCCGCAGGAACCCCTCTGGGAAGCGGAGGGCGACAGACCATCTCTCTGTGCATGCGTACACACACTCCCCCTCCCCACCCACGTTTTCAACACTTTTAAGGGATGTCCCTGCAGGCCCAAGTTAACCACCTGGCACAGGGGCAGGCAGCCGGTAAGTACACAACAGATGTGGCATGGGCTGGCCTCAGGGTGACCCAGTAGGAACGAGAGTCACGATGACACGAGGAGGACCACCCACAAACACGTCAATGACACTGGCAGACAGCAAGAAGTGGGTGGAAGCGGAGGGTCTACGGGACACCCTCCTGCCACGTCTGTCCAATTCTGATTCCCCTCCCCCATTCCGAGCCACCACGAATAAACAAACCTGTTTCTCACCGCCGGCATCGCACGCTTGCTTCTCCCCGGCACACAAAGGTCCCCGTGTCCCAGAAGCGCGGCGGGCAGCGCGCAGCAGGGGGCGTCCCTTCCGCGGCAGTGCCAGGCGCCAGGCCAGTGGCCGAGGAGCTGCCACGGCAGCCTTCCCCGGGGCTGCCGGAGGCTCCTAGCCCACACCGCCCCCTGCCAAGTTTCTTTTCCTCCAGAACACCCCCGGCTACGTTGTGGACTCTGGGACCATGCCCCACTAGAGAGTCCCCTGCAGCGCTCCCCTCCCCCAAGGCCACTGGAAGGCCTCCAGGGCCTGGCCTGGCTCGATTGCGAGTGTGAATCCTGCCGAACGGGGACGCTCTGGAGCGACGCCCGCCACCCTTTCAGCTTGGGAGTGAATCTCCTGCTGAAGGAGGGACGCCTCCCAGACACCAGCATTTCCACCCAGCTGCACCAGCACTCCGCGAGAGTTCCAGACCCCTCTCGTTGCTTCCTGGTCAGCAGGGGCCATGATGGAAAAATGCTGCCCCCCACTCCCGCACCTCTGTGACACAGGGGCGACCACCCGGTGATCTGGCCATACAGGATGTGCCCACAGGTGCAGAGTCAGGGCCGCCAGCGGGTCACGGCCGCCCCTCCCCCACTGCGGAGGAGAGTGGGTCACCTGCCTGTCTCCACCTCGAGCCGTGCGACTCTGACTTCTCTGACCAGGCTCCTCAACAGGCCTGTAAGGGACTCTATGACACGAACTCACGTATGACAACGAGAGCCACGATACTTTTATCTTTCCACAGCACTAACCAAGGAGGCCCTGAGAGCAAAGGTACATGCTGTTCAGAGGAGGCGCACCAAGGGTAAAGCTGCAGGAAAGAGATCACACAGGGCCACAAGGGACCCAGGCCGGGGAGGCCCACGGCTTGGCCGCTGACCTCCAGGCTGGCCCCGCCTCCCCGCTGCCCTGCACACGGCCCCTCCCCAGCTTCTGGGCGCTCGCCCGCCTCCCACACCACACACCTGATTTCACTCCTCTGCTGAAACCCTGTGGCCGGAACAGCGATTCTCAGGGAGGAAGGGAGGGTGGCTGATCAGACACAGAAGGTGCTTGTCACTTAAAGCACTTCTAACAATCATGGGTTGCTAATTCCTTTCAGACGGTTCTGATTTACAGGAACGCATGGACTTCTGTCCCTTGGCCTCCGGGAACTGAGAACTGCTGGCTTATGGTCACAGAAGGGCCTTCAGGAGGTGCCGCGCTCACCCCGACCACAGGGACAGCTCGCGCCTCCCCCAGCCTCAGCCCTCCGGCCACAGCGGCTCGTGCCTCTCCAAGCAGGTGCGGGTCCCCAACCAGGACGCCCTCCTTACTGTCCGTCCGGAGCCTCCTGCTCCAACCCAGCACTCCGCTCGCACCACGCAAGAGCCCCCCAGGCCTCGCGGGCGCCGCTCCGCCGCGCCCCCCGCGGGGCAGGGGCTCCACTGAGCAGCTCAACCGATGAAGTGGAATTCCCTCGCAGGTGGGCAGAGCCCGGGCCGAGCGGGTGGGACTGCCCGTGCGGGGCGCACTTCGCGCGGGGGGTGGGCGGGCCTGGGCGCCCCGAGAAAGAACCAGGCAGAGGGCCCAGTGCCCATGGCCCCGGAAGGGCTGGAGCGCGGGCGACTGGAGCCCGGGACACCGAGGGGAGCCGTGGGGGGCCCCGGAAGGGCAGCAGGAGGCAGCCGAAGCGGTTCGGGGTCCCGGGACCCTAACGGGAGTGCCGGGGCGCAGGCGAAGGGTCTCGGGAGAGCGGGGCGCGTACCGGGGGCCCTCGGGCTCGGAAGGGGGTCCCGGAGCGCGGAGAGGGTGCCGGGGGTCTCGGGCGAGCGGGGCGCGGAGGAGGGGACGAGAAGCTGGCGGGCGGCGGCGGCGACCTACCTCCTTGTCCGGGACCCACTGAGGCTCCTCCAGGCCGAAGGGGCTGCCAAGGGCGCGGTGCTCGGGCACCATGCGCAGGCCGCTGGGGGAGCGCACCAGCTTCTTGGCATCGCGGCGCGCGGCCACCTCGGAGGACATGACGCCGCCTCAGCGCTCGCCAGGCTCGCGGACCCTGGTCCTGCCAGGAGCCCCGCCCCGCCCGCGTGGATGACAGGGGCCGCGTCCAATCGCCACGCCCGGCTCGGAGAGCGAGCCAATCGACGCCCGGGATCCGCCCCATCGCTGCGCTTTTCAGTACGCGCAAGGGCACCTCCTCGGCCACCCTGCGGTCGGTCACCAATCGGCAGTGAGGACGCGCCCAGGCACGCCCCGTCTCCTGGGGACGACTGAGACTTTGGATTGGTCAGTTAGTCTGCGACGTAGCGCTGCTTCCTCTCTGATTGGCAAATCCGGTGCGGGACGTCCGGCTCTCATTGGAAAGGGAGGTTGCGAGGGGCGGGGCAGCGCGAGGCGGTGAACGGAGCGCGCGCGCGGTGAGAGCAGTGGGCCGCGGGGGTGCGGCGCGAGGTCCGCGCGCGGTGAGCTGGGCCCCGGCGGGGTCGCGGGCCGTGCGCGTATTCCACGGCCGCGGGCGGGCGGAGGGGACAGCCGGAGCCCAGGTCCTGGCGGGCCTCTGGCGGCTCGGGAGCCGGGGTGCGGAGGCCCGTCCTGGGGGCTGCCACCCGCAGAGACCCAAGCAGGCCGGCGGGCTGCAGGGCCGGTCAGGGGGACGGCGGCAGTCTGGGGACCGTGGGGTGCAAAGTGAGCCGGGGCCGCGCGGAGGGGCGTTGTGAGGTGGGGGGCGTCCAGGTGGGCCGCCGTGGAGGTGGGGCGCGTCGCGGAAGAGCGGGTGCGCTGGGTCGTCACGTGCGTCTGTGGCCCTCCGGGTCTGCAGGAGTCGCTGGCGGGAATGGGGCAAGGCGGTGCAGGGCCTGGAAAGGGAAGGGGTCCCCAGAGAGCCCGGGGTCCTGAGAAGGGCCGCGGACCCCGGTCACCGGGAGAAGCTCCCTACCAGCAGCCCTGGGACGACCCGGCGCTCGTCGCTCCCTCCGGGAGGGGCACCCGGAATAGATGGCTGGAGAGTGGGTGGGCTGCCCCCACCGGGACTAGACACACACACACCCCACCCCCCTCCCACCGGGACTAACACACACACCCCACCCCCCTCCCA